CTCCTGCTGACACCCCCCTGCCACACCGCTCCCCGCCCGGTCAGGAGAGAGCCGCCATCCCCTCCCGTCCCGTGGGTAGAGGCCCCTGCAAGGGGCGCGGCGGGGAGCCAGCGGGGACGGAGCCAGGTTTCTGTGAAGGGCTTGTCGTGCTTGAGAGGGTAAACAGTGCCCGGAAAATAACGTGGAGGCTGCTTTCCTGGTTCCCGAGGAGCCCTGGTGCCCATCAGCACCATTTGTTTGCTGCACCTCTTCTTTAAGTGCTTTTATCGAGCTGTAGCCGTGCAGCTGAATTTTCTTTACAGTCCCTCTAAGCCAGCGTCTCACAGAGCGTTTCCTCCCTGCAGGTAACGTGGTGGACAGCCAGTCCCCTCGGCTCTTGGCAAATCAGCTAAGATGGGACCTGACTGCCGAACAGATCGAAAATATGGCCACAGAGCTCACGGAGAGAACCAAGCTTGTGTACGACCGGGTGGGCTCCCAGGAGCAGGGCGAGGTGTCCTATGAAAACACCCTCAAGGCGCTGGCAGATGTGGAAGTGGAATATACGGGTACGTATCCCAAGAGGGAGTACTGGCTTTCTGAGAATCATCATGTTGCTATTAAGGGTTTTTTGGTGGTTTGTTTTTTGCTCTGAACTGTCATCTCCTTTTCCCTTGGCTCCCTCAGCAGTAATGTGGTTTTTTTCCCAGTTAATTTATACAGCTTGATATAAGCACAAAGAGTAGAGCAGGTTTGGAATGGAAGAGCGAGTCTGAAACGAGGACAGCGCTTTGGCAGCAGCATGGTCTGCGGAAGGAGCAGCCAGGCTTTCAAGGTTGTCTCCTGCTTTTATGTGAGGGGGCATTAGTGGGAACAAATCGTGCATCGGCAGCAATGGTTCAGATGATCTAAGAAATCTTCAGCTCTTTTCTAACTTCTTTCCTAAGACAGCAGATACACGTCTCTACGTGTGCCTTGTTTAAACACTGTTGTTGTTTTAAGGGTTTATGTGTAATGTGATGTGATGGCATCGTGCTGGCAAATGATGAAGGCTTCGATGTATCCATGGCTAATTATTTACAGCAGTAGAGTGCCAGAGTCACGCAGCGCCCATCCTGCCCACCCGTGTGGCGAGGTGTCAGCTCTGTGTGAAGCAGAAGCCAGCCTGCAAACCTCTTCTTTCTTCTGTCTGATTTCTTTTTTTCCTAAAATAAGAGGAAAATCCGTACTAAGCAGGGGTACTGTTAACTTCAGCAGAACTGTCAGCACTTTCCCTGGGCAGCAGGGAGTTGCTGCCTGCTCACCTTCTGCTGGGTCCAGAGCTCTCGTGCCTGGAGGGCAGTGCCTTCCTGCTAGAGTTGCATTATTTGAGGGTTTTCAGGGATTGTAGCAGGGAACATTCTTCCCGTTTTCGCTTCTAAGATGGAAGTGCATCAGGACAGAGCACACGTGGGACCTGGTGGCTTTTAAGGAGCATCTGCAGTAAAAGTGTCACTTTTAGCTTGGCCTTCTAAGGAAAGGAGTCACACAAAAATGCTGCCTGTGTGTCAGCCAGCACAGAAGTCCTGTGATTCTGGAGCTGTAGTTGGGGCAAAGGTGCTGAGATCTCACAGGCATGAAACCCCTGTGAGTTTTGTGAGAAAGACAGATGGTAGTGGGAAATCAGTGGACAGATGTGCTCTGCAGTGGCGAACGGGTGCTGCGGGTGACTGCTGCTCAGAGAAGACAACTCTGGGTTTGTCTGATAGCAGCAGCTTGCCTTTCTCTTCCTTCGCGTGGGTGGGCAGGTCAAGCTCCAAGGCTGTCAAACTGGCTCCCAATTAACACAGGCTCTCTGTGTGCACTCCCACTCATGAGCTGTTCTGGGACACGAAAACATTGCCCTCACCGTAACCTCTCTTCTGTCTTCGCAGTCCATCGGAACATGCTGGACTTCCCCCAGCACGTCTCTCCATTCAAAGACATCCGTGCAGCCAGCACCGAGGCTGACAAGAAGCTCTCGGAGTTCGACGTGGAGATGAGCATGAGGCAGGACGTGTACCAGCGCATTGTCTGGCTCCAGGTGTGTGCTTGAGAGGGCGCGCTGTCAGCGATGCACCCGAGCAGGGCACAGAAACCTCCTGAAATTACACAAACCCTTCTCCTTTGTCTCAGAAGTGAATGATACCGAGTCAGCTCTGGAACCAAATTGCTGTGTGATCATGGCAGAATGGTCCGGTTGTCTGTAATAACTGGGGGGTTGGGGTTTGAGGGCTCTGCCCCCTCTCAAGGCCTGGATTCCCTCTTTGGTAATGGCGTTAGTAACCCCAGCCTGCCTTACACAGAGGAGGGCTAGGTAATGCTCTGAAAAGGGCTGTAATCCGGCATAAAGTTGAGATGTTTAAAGCAATCTGATAGGAACTAATGCACCAAACTGAAGCCTGCTTGTGGGGTGTTTCAATCTGTCTCTGGATCACTGGTGTTACAATAACCCACAGCTCCCACTGGGAACCAGCTTTCTGCAACACCCGATCCTGTGGTTCCCTGTGCTCACGGGTTTTGTTTTACAGGAGAAAGCAGAGAGCGCTTCACTGAAGCCTGAAGCAAAGAGATACCTGGAGAGGCTGATCAAACTGGGGAAACGCAATGGGCTCCATCTCCCTGAGGAAACGCAGGAGGTGAGACCACAGAGCTTGAGTGAGCACACGCAGCAGAGGCCTTGCAGGGCCAATGGGACTGCGTTCGAGAAGAGGGCTGAGACTCAGACTCCTGAATTTTGACCCTGATCCCTGTGCCCTTGGGCGCATTGGGTGATGTCTCTGTGCCCCCTTTTTTCCTTTCCATTGGCTTGGGCTTACATTTACAATGTAGAGTTGATGCTCCCAAGAAGCTGGGATTGCAGACGGTGCTGTGCAGGTCAGGATGGAAGCAGCACCTGATCCCCACTTGCAAAGGAGGGGTCAGGGAGGATGCCCCCCTGGTGCTGGTGGGGAGCTGAGCTGCTCAGGGTCTCCCTCTCTCATCTTGTGCCAGTGCATGAAGCTTAAAGCCAAATTAAGATTAGAAGAGAAGGTGAAATGAAATAAGGGTAGAGAAAGGTGTTGCTTAAACACCTGCAGCTCCTGAGCTGCCAGGAGATGGCTGGGACCTTGCTGAGGTGGCTGCTTTCCTACCAGGTGCGATCAAAGGAGCCTGTTTCAGGCCAAGAGCTCAGCGCCTGCACGCAATTAATTCTGCAGTGTTGCATTTGAATCAAAGCCAAGTGCAGACCACTGGGCAGCTTGGCAGGCAGGCTGCTGGCTGGAGATGGGGAACGCTGCTGTTTGACTTCCCCCTTTGGGCTGACTTTTCTCTGTTCATCTATATTTTAAAGAAAATCAAAGCTATTAAGAAAAAGCTGAGCATCCTTTGCATAGACTTCAACAAGAATCTCAACGAAGACACCACCTACTTGCCCTTCTCGAAAGAGGAACTAGGTACGGAGCTCTCGGGCTCATTTCTCTGCTGATGTGGCTCTGAGTGCCTGTTGCTCTGGCCAAGGAGCAGGAGCAGAAGCCTGTCCCAGCACTGGTGTTTTTGGAGAGGCCAGGGCTCTCCACCAGTGCTGACTGCTCTTTTCCCAGGGGGGCTCCCTGAGGACTTCCTCAACTCCCTGGAGAAGACGGAGGATGGCAAGCTGAAAGTCACCTTGAAATACCCGCACTACTTCCCTCTCCTGAAGAAGTGCTACGTGCCTGAGACGAGGAGGAAGGTGGAGGAAATGTTCAACTCCAGGTGCAAAGAGGTAGGTGGGCCTCACTGCCAGGTTGGGTCCAGGCACCAAAGAGGCCTTGTCTGAGACTTGTGGTGCTTTCCACAGTGGATTTTTTTTTGCCTGCATACTCCCCTTCACTCTTTGCCTGACTCTACCTTGCAGGAGAATTGCTTGATTCTCAAGGAGCTGGTGGACTTGCGGGCTCAGAAGGCCAGTCTGCTGGGCTTCAACACACACGCCGACTTTGTGCTGGAGATGAACATGGCTAAAAGCAGCAAGACAGTGGCTATGTTCCTGGGTACGGCACTGGGGTGTGGAGAGGAGGAGCAGGAGTGTGCGCTGTGCCGGGTGTGCAGCTCCCAGCCCAGGCACTAACCCTGCCTGCCCTGATTTTCACAGATGAGCTGGCCCAGAAGCTGAAACCTCTCGGGGAGAAGGAACGGGCTGTGATCCTGGACCTGAAAAAGAAAGAGTGCGAGAAGCGCGGCCTGGAATTTGACAACCGCATCAATGCCTGGGACATGCGCTATTACATGAACCAGGTGGAGGAGACCAAGTACAGCGTGGACCAGAACCTGCTGAAGGAGTACTTCCCCATGCAGGTGGTCACCACGGGGCTGCTGGCCATTTACCAGGAGCTGCTGGGCCTCACTTTCCACCTGGAGGAGAAGGCTCAGGTCTGGCACGAGGACGTGCAGCTCTACACAGTGGAGGACACCTCTTCCGGGGAGACCATTGGCAAATTCTACCTGGACCTGTACCCGCGGTGAGGCCATGGGCAAGGCGAAGCAAGGGAGGAGGGCGAGGGCAGGGGAAGCAGAGTCTGCCACGCAACCTGGGAAGAGGAGAGGCTGTCATTTGTGTGGAGGGAGCAGGATGTACTGGGGCAGGGCTGTCCCAGCAGCACGGGGCTGGTGTGAATGGTGGCATCACCAGGAGCTCCTGCTCTGAGCAGGACCGTGGTGGCCCGTGGGGGAGGATCTGTGTGACAGTCTCCTCTTCCTGGCCTAGGGAGGGGAAGTACGGGCACGCAGCCTGCTTCGGCCTGCAGCCAGGCTGCCTCTTGCCGGACTCCAGCCGGCAGATCTCGGTGGCTGCCATGGTGGCCAATTTCACCAAGCCCACACCAGATACACCTTCCCTGCTGCAGCACGATGAGGTGGAGACATACTTCCATGAATTTGGGCATGTCATGCACCAGCTGTGCTCTCAGGTGAGGCCTGGCGGGAGCTTGGTTTGTTACCTCTCCCCTGTCGTGCTCCCCTGTGGGGTTAAACACCCTGCTCTGAGCTTGCCGTGTCTCCCAGGCGGAGTTTGCCATGTTCAGCGGCACACACGTGGAGCGGGACTTTGTCGAGGCACCGTCACAGATGCTGGAGAACTGGGTGTGGGAGAAGGAGCCGCTGCTGCGCATGTCCAGGCACTACAAAACTGGAAGCCCCATCCCCGATGAGCTCCTGGAGAAGCTCATTAAATCCCGGCAGGCGAACACTGGTGGGTTCCTGCAGAGGGAAGCGGGGTAGGAGGGGAGCGAGGGCTGAGAGCAGAGCCTGGCTGCAGCGTCCCCTCTGTGTGGGGAGGGGAAGGGGACCCTTAGTGACCTGGCCGGGGATCTGCAGGGAGGGGATGTGGCTTAGGCCTGAGCGGGTGCTGCTGGACTGGGCTGGTGTGGGGAAGCTGGTCAGAAATAGGGTGTGAGGAAAATTGTGGGAGCCCCCCAGCCTGCTCTGCTTGGAGCCGCTCCTGGCCGCTCGCAGGAGCTCAGTTTGCCTCCTCCCTCCAAAACAGGACTCTTCAACTTGCGCCAAATCGTCCTGGCCAAGGTGGACCAGGCGCTGCACACCCAGACAAAGGCTGACCCCGTGGAGGTGTTTGCCCGGCTGTGTGAAGAGGTGCTGGGCGTCCCCGCCACCCCAGGTACCCAGGGGTTTTGGGGGTCCCGCTCTCGCTGTCTCTAGGCCTGGCCTGCGAGCTTGCCTTGGTTCTTTTTAAGGCCAGGGCTTCAGGCTGCCTCAACGGGACAGTTTCTGCTGGGTCCAGGGCTGAAACCACACAAAAATAACTGGGAAGTTCTTCCCCGTTTCCCCTGGAATGGGGAACAAGCTGACCCAGTGCCTGCTCTGACACGTTTACACCACAGAGGGGTTTTTCTGTGCCACGGGCGGTTCCAGCAACCTTTCCCGTTAACACCCCTTCCCTTCCTTTGCCACAAAGGTACAAACATGCCCGCCACGTTTGGCCACTTGGCCGGAGGCTACGACGCCCAGTACTACGGCTACCTCTGGAGCGAGGTGTACTCCATGGACATGTTCCACACACGCTTCAAGCAGGAGGGCATCATGAACTGCAAGGTAGGGAGGACATCCCTCAGCCGCGGTGGAGGTGGTAGGAGATGGCAGCGTGTCCCACACGCGTCCCTGTCTCTCTCCTCGCAGGTGGGCATGGATTATAGGAATTGCATCCTGCATCCTGGCGGTTCCCTGGATGCTTCCGACATGTTGAGGAAGTTCCTGGGCCGTGAGCCCAAGCAGGACGCCTTCCTTGCCAGCAAAGGACTGAAGGTGGAGAGCAACTCGCTGCCTTCGGCCTGCTGAGAAGCTGCTCCAGCCCGTTAGAGTCAAGCCAGCTCCTTTGTCCACACACCAGTCCTCGCAGGCCAAGCCGTTCCCACTCCTTCTGTCACCGAATGCGTCCTGGGCCACCCCCCTACCCCCCCTGGAGCTGTTTCTCCAGGATCCTGCTCCGAGCTCACCCTGGGCTTCGGGCGCCAGGTTCGGTTGTGGTCCAGGGCTCTGTGGTGACAGCTGGGGACTCGAGTTGCCTTTGTCACCCCCCTGGGGGACATGGGGCTGTCGGTAACCCTCACTAATTGGCTGAACTTTGAACCTGAGTTCTGCACGAGGGTGAGTTTTGGCCTCGTTTACAGCCGGGGAGGAGAGAGAGGAGTTCCCACACTTGAATCGTTGTTTTTAAATCCCTTCTTTTTAAGAAATGAGGCTTCCCACTGCGCTTGGCTTGTTTTGTGCCCTGGGACAGACTTCACTGTTCTGACCATGAAACAAAGCACGCTGGGAGCCGTCCTCTCCTGTCTTTGGGCAGCTGGCGCATGTGGAATAAAGATGGGGAGATCCTAGAGCTTAAACCCATTGCATTTACTGGAACATCCTGCCCTGAGCCCCTCAGCTGTTCCTGCCGCTGCACCAGGCCCTGGAGGGGGCAGAGATGGCCGGGACAGCTCTGTCTAAAGCAGGGGATCCCAGGAGGTCACTCCTTCCCCCAGGCTGTACCAGAGCTGCTGGGACCCTGTGCTGGGGTCATCTCAGGGCAGCCGCTGCTTTGTGGGCTCAGGTCGTAGGAACAAGGGGTGCATTGCTATTGCTGTCACCTCTAAGCCAGAGTGGGACAGGGGAGGGCTGCGGAAAAAAAACAAGTGGACAGCTTCAAACAGCGCAGATGCCAGGATAAAAATACCGAGTGGCTTTGTGCCAGGCCTTGAGCAGCTCTGGGTGCGGCGCCGGGCTGGGGACGAGCAGCCAGCCCTTTGCTCAGCCCTGGAGCAGCCGTGTGGGGCCACGTCCCCCCCAGCTGTTCCCCTGTCCCCAAGAACCTGCAAATGGGTGCCCGTGTGGCACCAAGCGCTGAGCCCGAGGGCAAAGGCCAATCTCAGGTTTTGCTCACCTAGGAATTGCATGCGGGTTGGGAAGGGGTCTTAGCAGCAAGTGTGTGGGGCAGGCAGGAGGTGGGCTGCTTCCTCGGCAGTGAAGGGCGGCCTCGGACCTTGGAGGGGATCCCAGGACCCCAGAGGGGAGCTGTGAGCTCCGCTGCTGTGAGGGAGTTGTGGTGACAGGGTGCTAAGGGCAGCTCTGGTTTTCTGCTGTCCCCCTCCAGCCTTGGGTAGCTCATTTGATGGCTGTGGGGTTGGTCCGTGCAGGTTTGGGCACACAGAGGATGCAGGGAGAGGCCAAGCGCCCATGCTCATGCCCACCGCCCTGACCGGAGCCGCTGTCCCCTGCCAGGGTCTGGTGCTGTGGCTTCCTCCCTGCCTGGGCCCTTCCCTTTGCTTCTCCTCTGGGCTGCATCACCAGGGTGGCTCTGGCTTCCTCCCCTGCAGCCGCTGACAGAAAGCTCACTCTCAGTGCAGGCAGAGTCATTGCTGTCACCTCCCTCCCCCAGACCGCCCTGGTGTCACCCCCCCTTGCTGGTCCCCTCTTGCACTGATGTGTGAATGGGTCTGTAGCAGCAAAGCACAGACACTGCACAGGGGCTGTGTTGAGCATCTTGTCCTTGTCCCCCTGCTCCGCTTTAGGCATAGGCCATGTCTGTCCCTGCCTGCATGAGGCTGGGCGTGCTCGCGTTGGCACTGTGGGTGTTTTTAAAGTGTTTTACTGAGCTTTCAGGGGGTTCTTTCAGACCTCTCGGGAGAGAACTGGAGCTGAGCAGGGGAACTGCGCACTTTCCTCCCTCCTTCCCCGGCCGCCAATAACTCTGTGAGAACTCTGTGATAATTCTGTCCCTCCGACCACTCTGTACTCTCTCCGGTGACTCCAGGGGCTGCAATGGGGCCGAGTGGGGGCTCCCGGTGTCTCCACGGAGGCTGCTGTTCCTGGTGATCCCGGGGAGTGATACCAGGCCCCCTCAGAGCTGCACCTTCCCCCACACCCCAGCTTCTCATCCCAATCCCAGGCTGATGGGGATGAGAGGTCCCTTTCGGGTTTGGTTTCTAATTTTTTCGTGTTAAAGGGCAAACTGGTCTGTGTGTGTGTGCCGTTCATCATGGTCACGTCCCGCCCTGCTTGTTTAACGACTGGATTTTAGATGGTTCCTAGCACTAATAAAGGTTTTCCGAAGCGGGTGTTCACGTGGATCAGGTCCTGCTGTGGCGGTGGCTCTGGGATGGCAGGGGGGTGACTGTCAGCACTGCCACCCCCTCCCCAGCATGGTGACGGCCTCCTGCAGCGCTCGGCACAGTGGGCCCCATCCCACAAAGATGGGCACCCAGTGGCAAGTGCGGGGTGGCAGCCGGTCTGGCGTGAAGCCCTGGGGATGCAGAGACAGTGACACCCCCTGTGTGTCTCCCCCTATGTCCATGTGCCCCCCGCCAGCCCTGTACCTGTGTGAAGAAGCTGTGGTCCAGCACATCCCGCAGGCTGGGATGCGCCGTGGGATCGGGGGCCAGCAGGTGGGCGATGAGGGCCTGGGCACGGGGTGAGAGGTTGGGGGACAGCAGGTACCGTGCTGCCGGGATGTACCGGTACAGCTCCCCCCGCTGAGCTGCCTCGAACGGGGAGCTGCCGGTCAGCAATGCGTACCTGGGGGGCTTCAGCTGCTCACGGGGGCCAGGACCACCCCCTGCTCCCCTTCCCTCCCTCCAGGTTCCCCTCTTACATGATGCAGCCCAGGGCCCAGACATCTGAGGCCACCCCATGTCTCTTTTGGTCCAGCACCTCCAGTGGCAGGAAGCTGGGGGGCCCCCCAGACAACCCCGGGAGGGGGGG